GGAGCCGACCAACAGCTGATCCTTGGCACAGTCGGGATGGATGAGACGCATCTGCACAGCAGAGGCGACTGTGGCCGGGTCTCCTGTCTGTCTCCTCCTGCGTGCCTGCCCCTACTAGCAACAGGTGGTGGGATCTTTAGACACCTGTGTGTTATAGCAAAAAATCTGCACGATGCCTCTGACTCTGCGTGAAATGACTTGCTGACCACAGAATAGAGACCCCTAGCAACCCTAATGCTGCCTGCTTCCCCACCTGGGAAGTTGAGGACAAAATTAAACTATGGGCAGACCAACTGCCAGAACGCTGGAGGAAGCTGTTGCTAGGAATGTTTCTTAGGGAGTCACCACTCAAAAGCTTAAGATTTATTAGAGCCACTACCCCTCCCACACCCTGGACAGGAGTGTAAAGAAGCAAGGAGTTCTAGTTGGAAATAATAATCTCAATACATGGAAACGAATACAAAACATGCCCCCCCACCAAGATGTATAAGTCAAAAAACCTAGGCAAAAAACCAGTCACCTAACCAAGACAAACATAACCTCAACGGAGGTTAGCTAATTTCTATATAACCTATAAATCACCCCTTGCACCCTTTTAACTTAGACCAATCCCTAGAATCTTAATAGACGCCTAGTTACTAATTGGCACCTGAAAGTTTGTGCCCGTATAGCTTCGTTGGCTATCTGATTAATGACCCTCTTGGTCAAAATAACCTTTGTTTAACATGGTTGATCTGTGGGACCTCTTGTACTTTTCGGTTATTTCTTTGTTTAACATGATTGAACTGTAAAACCTTCTGAACTTTTCGGAGTTATTTCTATGGTAACTGTTTCTGTTTTAATAATCACACTATGCATTGAATGTTGTATAACCTCCCCTATAAAAATAAAGATTGATTTTTCTCGGTGAGTCAGTCAGGCCCAAAAAGCCTGGCTGTCCCCCGGCACTCCACTGGGTGTCTCACTCCAGTCTCTTCACCTTAGCTGTTCCTCCTTCGGGGACCCTGAGACCCCGCCGAGGCAGGACCCCGGCAGGTAACCTGCACCCACATTCTCACTCTCATTCCCACACCTCTCCAAGAACCTGTCACACACTTTTTATTCAATGACAGCTTACTATATATCTCAAAAAAAGTAAAATTCTATAGCAGTATTTTATACACGTGAGTTTGTAAGACAGACGTGTTTTCCTTACACTGGTTTTCTATTAAGTAAAAACCACCAGAGGGAAAGGGGAGGTAGGAAAGGCTAAATGGGGATAAACAGAGACGGAAGGAGGCTGGGACTTGGGTGGGGAACACACAATACAATGCACAGATGATGTGTTACAGAATCATACAGCTGGAACCTATAGAATTTTATTAACCAGTGAAAGCCCAATCATTTAATTAAAATATATATATTTTTAAAAGATTTTATTTATTTATTTATTTATTTATTTATTTATTTTTAGAGAGGGAAGGGAGGGAGAAAGAGAGAGAGAGAAACATCCATGTGCAGTTGCTGGGGGCCGTGGCCTGCAACCCAGGCATGTGCCCTGACTAGGAATCGAACCTGTGACGCTTTGGTTTGCAGCCCGTGCTCAATCCACTGAGCTACACCAGCTAGGTAAAAATATTTTTTAAAAGAGAGCTCATTGAGAGTATCATTTTAAGACACTATAGGAAATGTGAAGAATCATGCACTATTTGCAGGTACCGAGAAGAGTTGTAATGTGGTGTGGAAAGACGATAGAATCACTGAAGTTGAATACCAATAAAATATTTAAATGGAAATTTACGCCAAGAATGAAGGCCGAGTCATGAGCCTGTAATTATTCATTGTCAGATTAGTCCTAGGGGCAGTCCTGTGAGTTCCGAGGAGAGAGTTTGGATTATTTTTTTTTGTGGCGATTTAACCTACCCCACAATATGGCGGCTTAGAACAGCAGAGTGGTTACCCCTCACAGCAGAGGGGGCAGTTGGGACAGGGACCCCAAGCTGCTCTCCTGCTCCAGGAACATCGCCTGGGTCGTCGTGGGGCACTCAGCTGGGGCCTGGCCTTGTCCTTGGACTTCAGGAAGGGTCCCGCAGGGAGCCGGCTCCTGCCTGCACCTTGGCCACTCTGGTTGCCCGCGACATCTCCCTGTGTCCTGGGCCTGCTGCGTACTCTGGGCTCCTCAAGGCACAGCGTCCCATCCCTTTCCCTGCGGCTGCCTCTGAGAGTGAGGAGAAGGGGAGTGGGCACTCCCGTGGCCTGGATCCAGAGACCCACACAGTGTGACTTCAGCAATATGCAGTAGGTCCCAGAGCCCACCCAGCTGGAGGAAAGGAAATCCGGGACCCTCCCTGCTCTGCAACACACCTCATGGCCAGGCCAGGGCCGGAGCATTAGGGCCGCGTTTAACTCACCACGGCGGGAAAGGTCACTTGGGACCAGAAAGGTCTGAAAGAGCCACACAGGGAGAGCGCATCTGCAAAAAGTGGAGTGAGGATACGGCTAAACACACCAATATCTAAACACTAACGGCAACAGCGGGAAAAAGACTTTCCAGAGGTGTAGCAAAATCAGAACTCTGTTTGTTTGTAGGCCCGTGTTGCTCTAACAATAACATTGACTGTGGGAATTAGCCTCCACTCGGGCAAGTCTTTTTTTTTCCTGTTCACAAAACGAGCTAACTCAACTGAAAAGATGATTTTCCTTGACATGAGGCCGGCTCATTGGAAGCAAGGTGAGTTTGAGCTTCAGGACTTTATAGGACTAACTGGGGAAGGCCAGGCGGGGTTCCCTGAAGCTCCCGAAGGCACTGGACGATGGGGCGCGTGTGGCGTGGGCTCTGCGGCCGGATGGGGGCAGCCCCCCAGGGCTGTGACTCAGCAGCCCATGACCCGGCACCTGGGGTTCAGCAAGGTGGGCCGACGTCCCGAGAGGCCCTCCTGGGAAGTGTTGAGCCCTTCCAGGTGTCTCACAAGGCTTTGCTCAGAGAGGCTGAATCATCATGACCTTGGCTGAGGACAGGCCTCTCTTAGCCTGGAAGCTTATGGACAACTGACTCCCCAGATGACCCACTCTGCGTGTGTGTGTGTGTGTGTGTGTGTGTGTGCACACGGGTGCGCTGCACGCTGGCCACGCAGCCTGTTTTGAACACAGTGGCTGGCACCTGGTGGACATTTATCGGTGGTTACTAGACTCCATCACTCATACTCTCAACACCCATTGCAATGATGGTTGCAGTCTTTCTCACAGTTTCGCCTGTATAATATGGACCCAGAAATGAGATCATTTCGTAATACACACCAAGGAACAATGAACCCTCCCTGCCCAGAGGGAGCAGAGCCCTGGCTGAGCACTGAAATTTTAAAAATGTATATGTAACGTTTTTTTAATCTCTGTGTTTTGGACATGGATATATTTTTCATTTACGACTATCTACCCTGATGTCCAAAAGACAAAGGGGGAGGAAGCAAAGCTCCTGAGAAATACTTAAAACACACACACACACACACACACACACATTTTTAATGTGCTGCTGTTACTGAACAGCGGCCGCCCTCTGGGTGAAAATTCCAGAGGCAAAGGTTTGGTGATACAGGAAAGGAGTCTTTATTCAAAAGCAGTCACTTAAGCCTATCAAATCACAGCTTTAATCACTTAAGCCTGTCAATTAAGGCCAAACTCTACCACCTGAGTTCTATCTTTTCCCTGTTACCGTGTTTCTATACAGTTAGTTTACAAACTAAAACAACATAAGACACAAAAAACTACACAATTTTGGAAGGACGGCAGGCTTCTGCCTCACAGCCTGTCCCCTCCAGAACACCCAAAGAGCGACCCTGCCACCCCCTGCCAGGCCGGCCTGACCCTGGGCTGTGCCCCGAGTTCCTTCCCACCCGAAGTGCCCTCCGTCGGGAGAGGCAGGCGGCTGCAGCAGCATCACCGAGGCATCCCGGAGGGGGAAGGGCCTGAGAGCCAGAGCCTGAGAGGGAGCCAGCTCCGGAGCCAGGCAACCAGCCCTTTTTGAATTTCCATGGGCTCCGGAGGCGCCCGCTTCTCAGCCAATCCCGTCCCAGACAGCCCTCCGTTGCCTGGCCGACACCTCCACCCGCCCCTCCCGACTTCTCCCCAGGGATCTGAGTTATCTTAATCGGATCTCTCCGTGTCATCGCAGCAGCTGGGGAAGTCATCAGCTCCTGCTAGTCAGTGTTCTATGGTGCCATGGAGATCCTTCCTCCCCTCTCTGATAAAGCCATAGCTTTTAGTTGGTTTGCTTTATTTGGTGGGGAGCGCTGAACTTTCCAAGTCACAGCCTGGCTGAGTAAGTAGCAGTATAAAGAGCGTTCGAGTCGACAGCTTTGTGCAGGTCACAGCAGCCGTTGTTGGTAGTGTTTGTTTCTGGAGCCCTGGGTGGCTCCCCAAACCCGGGCAGGCTAAGCAAACACAAGGAGAAGAAAAGCAGGCGCACTTGGGGGCTTCGGCACTGTCAGTCTGGAGAGAACCGGTTTAGCCTTCGGAGACTGGAGGGGAGGGTGTGTGCGCCGGCAGTACCCAGAGTGAAGAAAGGCCAGGCCGGGGCGCATGGCAGCCGGATAGCGCCTCTTCCCAGTGCAAACGGGCGTCTCCTCAATAACCCAGGGGCTGGGCGGGGCGGGGGGGGGCAGATCAGTGGTCCCCACCCTCTCATCTGTCCCGTCAAAGCGCGTACACGAGCCTGCGTCAAATGCACTGTGGAGAATAGTCCGCAGACATTATATATAACATAATGTGTGTGTGTGTGTGTGTGTGTGTGTGTGTGTGTGTGTGTGTGTGTGTTAGACAGGCTAAGACAGGCGTCACCTGCCCTGCATCTTCAGCACGCTGTCTCCCAGACCCGCCGGATCCTGCAGGATGCAGGCGGGAGAGGCAGCGCTGGGCAGTGGCCGCCGCGCATCCGGCGCGTCTGCGGCGCACGGGCGCGGGGTGAGCGCCGCACCATTGAAGGAGCGCCGGGCGCAGTCGCGGGGCGGCTTTGAGCTCGGGGAGAATGCCCTGGGGGAGGAGGGCAGGACGGCGGGCCCCTCCCATTCCGCCTTTTCTCTTGCGTCCAGCCACCCGTGAGTGTGCTCGGGGACTCCTGGCACCTACGGCAGTGCCCCGAAGGGCTGGCCTTGGCGAGGACCGTTCGGGACCCGCCGGCACCATGCGCGCCCTCCCAGGCCTGCGGGGGCCCCGGGTGCCGCCTCCCCAGCCGCTGCTCCTCCTGTGCCTCCTGGCCGCCGTGCGCCCGAGCTCCGCGGACAGCCGTCCCCCAGGTGAGACGAATGCAGGGCCGAGGAGGGGTGGAGGGGGCGCGGGAGGTCGGGCCCCGCCGTCGGAGGGCACGGCCGGCGGCGCGGGGGGCACGGCGGGCGGGGGGGAGACGCGCGAGGATGCTGGCGACGCCCGGGGACAGCGGCGGCCGCCGCCTCCCATTGGCCACGCTCGGGGTATCCAAGTCTGACGAAGGGACCGGGGCTGCCTCCGCTGTGGGTGGTAAATCTGGGACCCACAGCACCCGCCGGGAGTCAGGGGTTGTCGTCGGCGTCGGCGGTAGCGCGGAGTCTCGGCGCTTGTAAGAAGAGGGCGGTAGGGTGTCGGGGCGCGCGTGGGCGGGTACAGGCAGCGACTGGCCTCTGCGAAAGTGACAGTAAACTGAAAGCCAGGCTCACCGAGGCCAACTCCCTTCATCTGAATGGATAGTATGGCTTAAACAGCGCCTACTCTCTCCCAGGCAGGTGGGTTGGCCTTGGGGATGTGGAACAACAAAGCAACCAAACAAAGCCTGCAACTCACGCCCTGCACGGTGTATGCTTTTCATCCTGGTCTTTGACAGCGAAGTTGTTTTGGTGGTGGTGGTTTTGTTAAAGACACTTCAAAAGAGGGATTTATGGGCAGAACGTTATCAAAACACCAGATTTGCCATTTTGAGCTTCACCTGTTTATCATTACTTTTCATGTGGAAGGCGCTCCGCCCAACCGGTTTTCAGAGGCGCGCTCCTGTGTGATAAATGGCAGCGTCGGGCGCCAGGCCGCCGCTCAAGTTGCCAAACAGTGTCCATCCGTTCACTGACATCGGGCTGTTACTCTACACGGGGTTTTTAGCTTTTCACAGGAATTCATTTTATGGGCTTACAGATTTTTCATAATATACCACAGAGATGGAAAGATAATCAGTGTGCGGTTATTTATTTTTTAATACATATCCTCTCGGAGGCCCAGTTGTTCACAACTGGGACCAAACCTTTTGGGTTGCTACGGTTTCTAAATTTCCTCGCTTCGCTCTTTTTCATTCATGTCACTCATAAAGACTTGTCACAGCCCTTTGTCCTGCCCAGGCTGTCCCTGATTCTTCCACCCCCAATTCACCCTTCATTCACCCCAGAAGGCGGCAGATATGAGGACCCGCGCACTCTGGTTAGTCCTAGAACGTTGGGTCTTGATTTGGCCGCGTGTCGGCGTTGCCAGGGAACTTCAAAATACCCCCTGGATCCTGTCCTCAGACATTCTGGTTCAGTTGGCCTGGGATTCAGCCTGGGCATCAGGAGTTTTTCAGTCCTCTGTCATTTTAATCACGGGATCCGGAGCAGGTTGGAAACCACGGCTTTAAAATGATGTGGCCCAGAGGTAGCACTGTGGGGTAGTTATTTATTCTGTTGGCACCGGGGGGGCAGGTTTAAATGGACATGTAGAGTGGACTTCTAAAGAGAAACAAGGAGACAAGTGAAAGCAGGGTGCATTAGCAGATAAACTGCAGGTGTGCATGCCTTGCCAGTGAGTGACACCCTTTCAGTTTCTTGTAAGCTGAAATTACTGATTAATGTGCCATGTGAAAGGCATGAAGGAACATCTGATTTTCAGGACGCATTAAGAATTGTCAGGCAACCCCTTCTTGTTTTACGGATTCTCTGTCGATCTCCACGAGATTGAGTTTCCTGTTTGCTAAAGGATGTGGTAAAGTTTACTGCAATTTTTTTTAAATCTAGATGCTTTGAACTACTTAGAGATAGATGTTCTATAAACCAAACGCTTTCTGGCCAAATTTTAATATGGGACATGGTTACAGTGTTTTATGTTTGTTACCTAATACCTGCGCACAGTGCTTGGGAATGGCAGGATACAATGCAGTCCACAGCGCCCTGTACTGGCTTTCACGGTCCCTGACGCGAGAGGAGGAAATTGGAACTTTGCGAGCTTAAATAATGGCCCAAGGACACATTCTTAATTAAGCAGTCGAGCAGGAAATTTGGCATAGTTTGGTCCCACTCCAGAGCCTGTTTCCTTAGACACCGTGCTCAGGCGTTGCGCTGGAATAGCCAGCTGTGTCTCTCACCATCTCCAGCCACCGGCAGAGAGTCCAGCCTGTGTCGCCTCTCCTTTCGCGCTGAAGGGCTGGCCGGCATCGTGCGAGTCCTGGGGTGAAGTCAGGCACAGGGGCTCACTCTCAGGCTGTCTCCGCTACGTAAGAAATGTGAAAGAAATATCTTTGTAAAGGAGGAGCATGGCTGAAACAGGAATATTCAAACATCACTGTTATGACTATTTTATGAAACAGAACAGTCAAGGGAATGGGTCGTGTTGATTCACTGACAAATGTTTGCAGGGCAGTGATTTGAAGTGACCATGGTTCACTCCCATCATGCCTCGGCCAGTGTGTGGTCTGTGCGGGGCAGGGGTGGGGGGCGGAGTGCCTGCAAGGAGCCTCAGCTCTGCCGGCTGAGGTGGAGCTGTGGTTTCCCGGGCCTGGTGAGCACACTTAGCACCACATCTCGGCTCCAAATACCCTGCTTTACCCATAGCAACTAGGACTTGTTGGAGAAAGGGCCGACCTCGGGGCTGGGGTGCGGGAAAGTCTACATGAAGCCTGGACCATCTTGTGCCAGAAAGCAGTGACGCGTGCAGGGAATGATGGGTGCCGCCCAAGGGCAGCAGGAGCCGGAGGGAAGGGCCCCCGCTGGACAAAGCTGGGGCCGAGTGGACATCCAGTGTGCATTAGCAGCCACTGAGTGATGCCCACTGGATAATAATGGGTAAATACTGATACAACTTACTTGAACAAATCAAGGAAAAGTTTCATGAGGCACAGAATGTTACATGGTTTCAAAGTAACTTCACACAAAATTCTTACTAATGGAAAGGAGAAAGAGTGACTGTGCAGTGGAGAAGCCTGCCAGACAGGACTTGAATCAGACGACCCAAGTGAAAATGGTCAGGAAAGGGGGAAATAAAAACCGTGTGCCGTCCGACAGGATGCAGGGAGAACCGCAGTCACCTCTGTGGTGTTCCTGTGGGAGATGTCCGCGCCGGATCTAATCACGTGACAGCGTCACCATGCTGTCAGCTTCCCAAGTATCAAGGTCGCAGAAGTCAGCCGAGACTGAGGTTGTTCAGGGTGAAGGAGGGCAGAGGGACGTGGCAGCTAATGGCCACAGATGATTCACAGCTGGGACCTTTGGCTAAAAAGTGCCTCTCAGCAAAAAGACTCTTTTGGAAGCTCAGACCCGGTGTGGGACATGCACGAACGCTGACTTCCCTCTTTTCACGGCGGTGTTGGGAGGAGGTGGGGGTGAGTCCTGCATGGTGAATGCGCAGTGGTGTTTTAGAGGGGAGTGGGCCGTGGGGCCATCCGCTTATTCTCAAAGATGCTGCATTTGAAATGGCTCTGTTAGGGTTATTTGAAAAGAAGCAAAAAGAATTCCAACTCTTGCTGAGAATGTCTGACATTGAACCACAAGGAACAGCTGAGAAACAGTCATCAGTGAGTGTCTTTTTTTTTTAAAGATTTTATTTATTTATTTTTTAGAGAGGAAAGTGAGAGAGAGAGAGAGAGAGAGAGAGAGAGAAACATCAATGTGCGGTTGCTGGGGGCCGTGGCCTGCAACCCAGGCATGTGCCCTGACTGGGAATCGAACCTGTGACAGTTTGGTTCGCAGAGTGTGTATCTTTGGGCCCTGTTTTCCGGAGAAGTGGTTGTTCTGCAACAGTATCAAAGCGTGTGGTGAGGCGGCTCGTCCCAAACCGCAGTCCTTCGAAGTGACTTCGGTCTCCCTGGCGCCCCATGTCAGAACACCCCGTGTTTCACAGCATTTTATAACATTGCACGAATGGCGGAAATAAACAATCTAGGACACACACGTTGACATAGAAGAAAAAAGCCTCACAACGTCTTACTAAAAATAAACTCTCTATTCCTGATAATAGTCACTGTTCACAAATAAGGGACTATCTCAAATAATGTACTGTTAGTATGGAAATAATAGGTGTTGTCTTCAAAAATGGTGCTATTCTTTTAACTGAAAATCATTTTCCTGGCATTTTTCAAGTGACCGGGGTTATGCCATTCCTAATGTATCCCTGTTCCCAAGACAGAATCTTTCCTCTTTTTTTTAATCGCCTTATCATTACATTGTCCCGAGGTCCAAAAAGGAATGTAGATGTAGTATTTGATTGATCTTAAAGCCAAAGTGCTTCTTGGTGGCGTGAACAGCCGGGAGCTAGCTAGTAACTGTGACTGGTTTCCTGCTTTGCGTTTCACGACTCCATCCAGCAATGGGTGCTTCTTCCTCAAAGGTCCTCAAAATAGGCTGCTGTCAGAAGGAATGTTCGGGGAGCTGAGGAGGGAGGCAGCTCTGCAACCCAGGACAGCCTCACCCATGGCCTGGGTAGTCTGGGGGCAGGGCCTGAGCGGAGGCGGGGCCTGAGCGGAGGCGGGGCCTGAGCGGAGGCGGGGCCTGAGCGGAGGCAGGTGGGTGAGGCCTGCTCAGGAGAGAGGGGAAGGGTGGTGCTCAGGCCTAAACAAGGTTCTGCTGGAGGTGGATGAACTTGAAGACGATGAAGTTCCAGCCCTTTCTGTTCTTGTTCTAAATAAATACTTAGTTTTTGGAGGGAAAAAAAAGGCAAAGAAGGGCTGCATGAAGCATCCATGCTTTAAAATATCTGCACCTAAACAATGTAGATAGAACAGGACCCCTGGGCTGTTGAAGATTATTAAATATCACGTTGAAGAATCAGAGTTGCAAGTGTACCTGTTTTGAAATGAGAGCCCCTTAGCCTTGGCATTATTGACATTTTGGGCTGGATAACCCTCTGCTGTGAAGGGCTGTCATTATCAGATGCTTAGCAGCATCTCTGTGTCATGGGTGAGGAGTTGTGCCCCACGGAGAGAAAGGTTTGGGTCCTGACCCTTGGAGGGTGGGAAAGGGACCTGACTGGAGAGCCGGACCTTTGCAGGTGCAGTCAGGGTAGAGTGAGGGCAGACTGGGTCAGGGTGGGCCCT